GGGGGGGGGGGGTTGATTAGTCTCGCCTAAAGGTAGTTGGTCTAGCTTTAAATTCTCTGTCACCTAAATAATCAAAAACACGAATGAATTCCCACTAAGGAATAAAATGAATGAGCATGTGTTTCTTTGAATGATTTGCTTTTGTTTACTGGTATCACATTTCATAGATAAATATGCCCATATATATATATATATATATATATATATATATAAAGTTTAACTTGATCTGCCTCTCAAACATATTTTGCAACAAAGTAAACGGGTTTAGCCCTCCCGTTCCTAAGACTTTTTACTTTACCCACTTTGACCCGTACCTAAATTTGTCAAAAGCTGCCAGATTATCGATGTGCTCGGACTTCAGTGCTGGAGCTCAGTTCCCTAAGGTTCAAACCCCTAGAGGAAGGCCAACCGGGAGCATGCCGACGAACAACAGCGAGTCCTCGATACTGTGGTAAATCGTATAAGAAGGCGGTCTAAAGGTATTTTCTTACTTGGTGTTTGATCAAATCGACTGCCAAGCTCGGTGAACAGCCAACTTATCAAATACCAACTAATGCATCCAAGCTACCAATATTTCAACATATCATCAACATTTTCTCCTCGACAGGGGTGTGAAAAAGTGTCATGCAGGCGAACAACAGTTATGGCGATCCACAGTTATGAAAGTGGCGATGCTGCCTGTCCCATAAGAAGGATGGGTTAGAAGAGGTTGGCTAACTGTTTACTGCAGTCCAAATCTTTTTAAACCCAAGGAGTCTATCGCGGATCCGAAGGTACCTTCTGTAAGTAATCGCTTACTGAAGTACACCTTACTTGTTGAGCTCTCTGCCCAGGTGAACCCTCCGCAGCTAAGCAGATGAGGCTGTTGAATTTTTAGTTTAAGGAATGTTACCTCGATTAAACATCAATAAACGCTTCCTCGCTGCTCAAAATTTTAAATCGCAGGGCAGAATAAGAGTCTCCGGACAGAAGCCTTTAGTCTTGTACCGGCTTGTGGGTCAGAACTGAGTCAAAGGCTCAAGGGAGGGTACCTTATAAAACCCCCTACGGCTTGGACAAACAAGAAGCGTCACTTGCCCTTGCAGCTCCTCCCTTCCCCCTCCCAAATTATGTACTCGGGTCAACCCAACTATTGGTCATCCAAACAGTGTCGCTTACCAAAACAAAAATAATCCCTTACTGAAGTCAAAAACTCTTAGCCACTTAGCAGTCTTCAATCATCGTAATTTATTGTCTAATTTGGCTTCAGGGATCGCTTATTGAAAACTTGTTTCTGCTTCCCGTCGACTTACATTTAAGTCTCCGAGAAAAGCATACAAGATTCCGCCGCTTGGGAATATGCAATGGCTCGTGACATCTGCGGCGTTGGAATTACACTCCGCCCCAAGGCTGAAAACATTTTGTGGGAATGGATCCCACCAGACAATCGTCTTTGCGCTGTACGGTTGTCTAGCTCATTCACGATCAATGAAGGTCACTGTGGTAAACGGTATCCTATTTGTTGTATCCGCATACGTCCCGACAGAACGCAGTTTTTAATGTGAAAACGATGAATCCTACGACTGTCTCGGTCAACAAAAGAGTGGACATAGTCATCTCAGAGAGTTGACATGGCCGCCCAGATTAAACACGTTAGGATGGCAGATTTGTAGTCGATACTCAACATACGGATAATTGACAGTGACGTTTTCAGTTGTCCGCTCCTGGCTGGTAAGGAATTTTATCATAAGCCCTCACAATGAGTCACTTGGACGCAACCAATCGCAAGCCAGTCAAGGACTCAGCAGGATCAAATGATCATCATTTACAGATAGGGAGCCTCAACTAACGATTACCGTTCGTTCTGGTTTATGCAACCTGACTGATCATGCCAATATGTTGAGTTGGTTATCTCTTCGCTTTTCCTCAGAATCACGCGTGTCAAAGCAGAGCAGCTTCATTTATCAACTGTAACGAGTTTCCATAGCTCAACAACATAAAACTACAGGAAACGCACAGTCAATGACCCATTGGTAGTTGAAGGGAAGGAAGGAAGTTCTCAGTATTTAGGACTGTCTGTGGAATATTTATACGACGTCGTTGGCAGTAGAGCAGTTTGGAACTGTGGGACCACGTCCGTGTATTCAAAAGGCATGGTGATGAGTAGTCTATGGAGAAAACTGCTGGAGTCGTCCAGTTTGGGGAGGATAAAGCCCGAGGATTTGCTTCCTGACGCCAGCAACTGGTTACCTAACAAAGCCATGTGCTTTTCGCCTCCTTTGGGTCCTTACTGGAACTGTGCGGGCCAATAATGCCCAGACGAACGGAGAATTCAGATTACACACTGATCGGCCATGAATCACATGTGGTTTAAAGATCAGCACATGATTGCCGCATGGAAACTTCCTAGAAAACCATTCTCGTCTGAAATCAGTGAGGTTGATGCTAAGAAATATGATACGAAGCCATATACTGTTATGCGGTTTCACTAGTTTGCATTCCGATTTCTGAGGAAATTAGTAAGCTCTATGCAAAATGTTGCAGCTGGATCGTTATACAGAGGTTAGGTCCATTCGGAATGACGACAGATGTGTTGCCATAAATTGTGTGTGACACAGTATAGTGACATTCATTCGACTTCAAATTAGGAATTACAACTGATGTCGATGATTTCGAGATAAAGAATCTTCTCCTTGAAATTGATGAACGTATCTCAGTATTATCACTCATTTTGCGAAACATACAAAAGACCCGGCCATCTGTGGAAGAACTGCCACAGAGTTTGTGCTCGATTCAAAAGCAGTATCATAAAACTGACAGCCACATGGTTTGGAAGCTAACTGACTGATACAAAGAGCCAGATTCTCAAAAACTATAGACACCAGGATCATTGAATATCAAGTGTCACATTAGTATTCACATTGTTCTCACCTGAACAGTCTAATTCAGAGCCCTGGTATGGTTGTTTCAGTTGGACCGCACCAAGAAGCGATAAGATCCTAGTTTTGCTCTCAGTAAAGTTCGTCAACAATGCACATCGCCGTTCCTGACGGAGTTTGCTGGATGCTCCTGGAATACCAGGCAAATATCAGGTAGATTTGCCCACCGTTGGGCCACATGGTTGATACTCAGGTATTCGCTAATCCACCTAGTAAGTGCATTTTTTGTCGTCTATCCGATCCACCTGTCAGGATTTACAGGTCACCTAGCACCAAGAGAGACTGAAAACTGCAGGGCTTTCTACCTAGTGTGGAGTCTGTAGAAGTTGCCTTTATACCATTGACGAGTGAACAGCTCTCCTTCTGATCTGGTGCAAATTGTTGGTAACCTACAGGCTCAAATTTTGCTCTTATAGTACTTTCCTTGGAAGGAAGACACAACCGTTCAAACAAGAAGTGAATACACAACCTGCTAATACCGTCACCGCCTACAACTAAGCAAAAGCGCCTGTGGGCTACGAGCGTCCATCCTACTACCTAACGGGGAAGTCCTGACAGGAGGACCCATCAGTCAACATAACCAACTAGGACAGTTGGTTTCTGAACCATGGGCACTTATCGTAAAGTTGTTGAAAACTGTTCCACAACCCACGACCGGTTTCCTCTTCTTGCGGCTCGTCAGGTAAGTGCAGTACCCGAGTTTTTGTCAAGCTTATGTTCTAATTGAACCCCGACCGAACGGATTTCGACAGCTACTCTCATTTGCGCACAAGCTTAGTTTTGACAGGGGACTCAAATCAATCTATTTGAATCTCTCGCTTCTGAAACAGGAGGCGGTCTGGTACACCCAGACCATCGTAAACGAAAGATCCAGCTGGATTCACTTAGGACGTTTAGCGTACTTTCGATCGTGGCTTTCGGCGTCACGACACAGCACGAAAGTGTGAATACGTTTGTGCGTTCCGATATGATGATTTGGGAGGCCCGGCTCGCGCTGTTGGAGTGGCGATAAAATGTCCACCAGTACGACAGATATTGTGGATTCGACTGCTGACAGATTCAAGGGCACACACTACTGATTATCTCTAATAAGAGCGAACCTCGAATCCGATGTTTGCGTACTTATAAGAATACTTGCCTGTAATGCTAGAGGTGGATGAAGACCGCGAAATTGGAAACAGACGCTCGCCACTATCACATGACCTGTTTAACTAACTCTGCGGCAGCCAGACTACCTTGTCTAATATAGTATGTGCGTGCGACTGTTAAAGTTATTTATGCAAAATGACGCGTTCCTGAGTTCACCACTTTCAATATTCGAAACACTAATGCAGATTGGTTTGTGGTGTAGCGCGCTCAGAATTCATGGATTCTAATCCGAGTCTCATTATCGTTTCGGTAATGACTGATCCAGGTGATCATGACGAATCAGCAAAAAGCACGTGACTGTATCGTCAGTGCGACTGCCTTTACTGTTCACACAACCCAGTATAGCAATATAGGGCTAAGCTAATGTGTGGTATTTTGGAGTGGACAGGCCCAGAACCCAGTAAGTTCGACCTCATTCCACAGATTGATGGAGTCTTACTTCTGAGAACAGTCCAGTACAGTTTGGGAGGAAATTTTTCGAAGAAATACGTCTAAAATTAAAATCTGCGTTATCTTTTTTTCCGCTGGTCTTCATGTATCAGTTGGTTTTTACCAAGCACAATGAGTGATTGACAGTTACCCTGGTTTACGTGCAAATGCTCAGTTTGTACCAAGTTTCAACTCGACAGAACCTCCTTCTCCTATCACATTACCCCTCTGCAAGAGATTACATGAATACACGAAGAAGGGGTAATCCCCTCTGGAGGTGCCTTCTCTTGTGAACAATCCTTATTTCTAATGACTAAGCGCTGATTTCGAGAGCAAACTATACCGTCTACAGAACAACCAAATTAAAGTTCAAGCTTAGAGAAAGAAAGGCGCAAATATGTTGCACTTTAAAGCTCACTTCCAGCACAGATCACCTCACCACGCCGCCAAGGTCCGTCCGTAATTCCTGTGCCAAAACTATGAGTCTGACGATGTTGATAAGCTGGCGGTGCCGTGAGAAGACTTGTTGGTCGCCCAAGACCAACAACTTGGTTTTGTTGTCTGTGCTGACCCGTCTCCATAGTGAACTTGTTCCAGTCCGTGCAATGTGCTATACCTGTGGGGGGATGAAAAAACCAAATGTTGGAGAATCGCAGAAACGGGTAATCATCTCGACAGAAACATTGGTTTTTATCTATTCGGTGTTTTTTCTCTCATCAAGTTTGAGATCGTTAACAAAGTCATTAATGCGTGTACTACGGGATATTACTTGCATAAGAATGTTGTACTGATGGATCTAGTACTGATCTAGGTTTTAGCGAGTAAGGCCGTGAAATTCAGTGTGGAAAAGTCTTGGAGAACTGGGACAGTTTTTTCTATAATATACCGAGATTCTGTAGATAGACCATCTCTGAGTAAAGGTATGAAGAACAATATCAAGCCACGGGTGCCTGGCCAGTGGAATACCCCAATGTGAGCAGTACTCCAGCCCCGAAATCGCTCTGACCACAAAATGCCTAGCCGTGTTTATGACGACTCCCTCAACCAGCCGGTTTAACAGGAACAACGAGGAGTGGTCAGCACTTATTATAGGGGCGATTTTGATAAAATTCATTCATTACCAAAAGCCACGGCACAAGTTTGCAGCAAACGTCACCAAACAGGGACATACTCTCTAAGTAGAGCGGTCTTCAAGTAGACAGACAGCCAGTGGACAAGAACCAAAGTGACTGACAGATTGATAGAAAAAAATTGATGTTCTTGACAATGAATAAGTAAAACGTTCAACACGGTTGTTGGCTCATCAGTTGGTCCGTTCTAAAGTTTACTTACCTGGCTTTAGTATCAACACGGACCGATTTCTATAGTGCCATTTCAGTCTGTATATGAAGTGAATGACATACTAATTCGACTCACTGGCGTACCAAATTGGTTTTCATAGGGGACTCACCTGGAACCCAGCTGAATAGCTCGTTTATGATACTCTGAGCAACTGAATTCACTGCACTAGGCCGCCTCATTTTCACTTAGTTTGACATTCTAGATATCGCGGTACATTCGTTGGACTGTTAGACTACTCACAAAGTTGCCGAAGACTTTGCAAAAGCCCACGACCGATTGCACCCTTCTTCGGGCGTATCAGGCAGGCGCAATCCCCGAGTTTCCGTCAACCTCATGTTTTACTTGAACCCAAGGCCTAGTGCGCTTTATCAGTAACGTTAATCGTTTGAAAACAATTTGTAGAAGCGTAAAGTGAAGGACTATTCGGAGGTCTCCTCAAAGTAATCATCATCTGTATATAGAAGGATACTACCAGATTTTGTCCGGCCTTTTGTCATCCGACCTTCCATCAGCGTATCCTTTTGGGTGGATGGAGTTCGCAAAAATTTAGAAGATATTCTGAGGAGAGTGGCAAGCGAATAGTGTGCAGACAGAATTGACTATCGGAGTGCTTGCAAAAGCAAAGCCCGTTTCCTAGAGCCATCCACTGATGTGCAGTAATCCAACACACTGCCCAAGAAACTTTAGTCTGGAATACTTAGCTTCGAGTCCCTGTATAAGCACCTTGTAATTGTTCCCGGTCTTGAGAATCGTGTGAACATGTTTCGTCCGTAGAAAATTTAGAGACACTCCCTAACGGTATATTGAGAGTTTATTGTTGTTCATTTCTTCGGGTGGGCATATTCTGTCCACGCAACAGATCGTAATTATATCCTCAGGCATCTACCAAAAGATGTATGGAAACAAGCGTACCAGAGCATGTTGAACCAGTCCTGTGCTCAACTAATCTGTTAATCCCATGCAAATGCTGCTTAAAGATATAACCTGAGGATCAGTTACGTCAAGGAAGTACGTTTTGTTTGACGACAAGACTCTATCGAATCAAGATCCAGGCATCTTCATGGTACAGAGGTAAAAACGTGCTACTTTGTAAGAGTGAGCTTTCCGAAAATAATTTTTCTAACCAATAGCCGGAATGTATTTGGTGTGATGAAACAAAACGCAGTGGTTTGTACAGTCTACGAGGAATCACCAACGTATCGCAACATCTGGACCTGTTGTCTAGGTTCCAGTTTCCCGTAATCCACTTGACTTCTCTGTCATAACAGGAAGTCATGTCGGTTCAAGTAGACAGTATTAGAATCACGTGATCACGTGTTGTGCATATAAACATATGACCGTGTCTAACTAGCTGACGAACCATATTGACTTTCGACTTCCCGATGGAACGAGTCTTTTCAGACTTAGATGTACTTGGTATTATTATTATCATCACCATCGACAGCATAACATCAATGTTCGACATTGATGCTTCACTGCCATACAGTCATGATTTTCTTGTAAGAATAAAAGTGGATGTTGAAGGGACTTCATAATACCGCGATCCTTCAGAGACTCCTACATCTCCAGGCACTGCACTGATGCTTCACTGCCATGCAGTCATGATTTGCTTGTAGGGATAAAAGTGGATGGTGAAGGGACTTCATAATACCACGACCCTTCAGAGACTCCTACATCTCCAGGCACTCATTCAGACAAACTGTATGAAAGACTCATAGCTACACTGATTCCTGCACATCCTACCGAAGCTGCTTTTGCATTGCCAGAGGTTCGCAGTCGGAAACGAGTGGAGAGTGACTGTGCAATTAGCTCGGTGAAAGTGCTTGGATCTTGCGTTTTTGTTTCCGATATGCAACACACCAATATCGAGCGAAAAATAGCAGTCTGTTGTTCCGCTTGGTATAGAGACCGGTCTTCGAGATTTGAAGACTGATTTCCAAAAACCTGAAGTTGTCAACAACGGCTAACGTGCAGATGTTGCGGCCGGGACAAACGAGGTTGTCAGTCTCAACGGGGGAGCCTACCGAGAGGGAGCTATTAATTGAGTACGGAGGGGGGAGAGAAAGTATATGAAAGGGAAAGAAAAGCATTAGTCTGTTTTCGCTTACCCGTCCTGCTGTATTCAGCAAGTAAGGCTCCCGTCTGATTACACTGCCTATGTGGTGTGGCAATAAGTTTAGTTGTATATATCACGTGGGCTGGGATACTGTGAAGTTGACCATACCTAGACAGGAGGACGATTAGGGCCCTCAACCAAAGCCCTTGGCTTAAAAGGTTGACCGCAAGGTAGCGGCATTTGACGGAAAAACCAGTACACTACCATCTTAAATGACGATACATCAAGCAAGATCCAACTCAAAACGAAGAAACAGGAATCTGTGTTGGTCGGAATCATTCTCGTTTATCAGCCTAGTATAAGGGACTCCGAGATTGTCGCACGGACACTCACTAGTATAGCTCAGTTAGTTATGGACGCACACAAACCGTCAGAGAGCACGGTGACAGTTCGTCTGCTCGTTCAATTTTTTCTGCTAACACAGACAAGCAAGTCATTCGGTTCTTAGAAGAAAGTTTGGGAGGCACCCGATTACCCGTAAAATAAACGGAATAATCGATTTCATCCTGAACATGCCGCATTAAAAATACACTGCTGGATACCGCCATGTAATCACTCATTGATATTGCGGTTGCGTAAGTGGCCTGCTCCGTGGCCTTCGGTTGGCAAATTTGTACCGAAATCAAAAAGTCCAGATGGTTTAAGAATTACTTTCCAAACTGAATCAGCTCACGAGCGGGCAACAGTACAATGTACGACCCGACATGAAACTTCTTCAGTAGTGCGGAACATTCACTACACATGCCAGCTCAACCGTGTGTTCGGTGCAGATTTTTAGTGTTATGGACTCAATACTGAATGACTGAGAACGAAAACTGATACCACCTTGCTTGCTGGTAACCAAAGCTTCCAAAGGGAGCGAGTAAAGTAACACATATGGTGGAATATCTTCCCCCAGAATAAGCGTCTCCCATTCCTCAATTACTCCCTTGGGGAAACGGTCCAATTTTCAACCGAACAGTACGATGAAGTTCGAAATGTGATGATGAGCCTTCTTTGGAGAAGATGTTGCCTTGATGACGGGAGAGCGAGGTGCTTGTCTATTTCTGTCACATCGGAATCGTGTACTATATGGTGAATCCGGAAATGGGATTTAAAAGCTTGTGAGGTTATCATGTGGTATCCAACTCCAGATGGCATGATTGCTGCTGTCTTCGTCTCAGCAGGCGGAGTGTTGTCCTTGACGAGCAACTGGGGTGGGAGCTGTCGGGAACCGAAGTTGGTTTACAGAATGCTCCAACGCCAGCCCACGGCTCAGAGTCATGTGTGAACCTAGCACTATGTGTGGCCGTCTTCCTAAGGGAGTTCCAATGCGTAAAAAGGCTAATAATTCGTAAAACAGAAGGGGTTTCCCTCTAAGTTGAACGATACATTGACATTTCAGTATATCTCATCGGCAACACTAAGTTGTTTGACTGGTGTGATGAATCCATGTGGATGACCACATAAATCGATGGCCTCGTTGGACGTTCGTTCTTCTGGTATTAATCAGCCAAGGGAAGCAAATATAACGACACCTGTGGTGAACATGTAGTAAGATCGATACGCATGAGATCTGTCGTCAGAAAAACAACAAGGAATCGATGGTAAAATCGATGATCATTGAGGCTTGTGTGCATGTCTTCGCAAGGATTTAGTTCGCATTTCAGAGTACAAAATAGGCCAAGAAAATGCTCGAATGTGAAGCCTTCGTTGACTGAACTAACACAAAACGAAGTCTATCACGCCTATTACAAATCATCCTTCCAGTTCGTTGGATTTTTTTGCCGAAATTCAATGTCCCGATAGGTGTCGATGCTCAAAACACATAGAAAGTAAATAACGCATGTACCATGAATTTCCTCAAACGAAACCCTTCTTGAAAACCGCGGAAGCCATTCATACATCAAAACCATTTTCTTTTCAGGGGCATCACTCTATAATTCGACACTGGTCTGCATAAATTAAGCCTGCTCATTTCCTACCGAGGCTATCTTGGGTTTAGCCTCATTCCACTGTGCCCCATCAGTGCTTATGATCATAAGACATAAAACAGACACCGTGCGATATGGGAATTAGATTTCAATTTGTCTTTTGTGAAAGTCATGATAAAAATTATCGCGTCAACCCATTAACTGAAATCCCACCTAGTTCCGCTGCTGAAAAGAGGTGATCGCATT